TTTGTTTTGTTTTGTTTTGTTTTGTTTTGTTTTGTTTTGTTTTGTTTTGTTTTGTTTGTTTTGAGACAGGGTTTCTCTGTGTAGTCCTGGCTCTCCTGGAATTCATTCTGTAGACCAGGCTGGCTTTGAACTCAGAAATTCGCCTGCCTCTGCCTCCCAAGTGCTGGGATTAAAGGCGTGTGCCACCACCGCCCGGCCCTTGTGTCCATCCTGGCCCTCCAAAGCACTGTCTAGTGGCTTTGATGAGTTAACACACCAGCTCTTCAAAAAACACACAGGCACCTATTGCCCAGAGTAGCATTAGAAGGGGCGTCAGTGCCAGAAGGATCACTTAGCCCTTCCTCGCAGCTGATCCCCACCGTCTTCACGCGACCATAATCTACACTCCACGTGTCTTCGCCACAGATCTCATTCAGGCCACCAGCAGGTATGAATTCAAATGCCCAACCTCTTGGCATCATCAAGCTCTTTTTTATTAATTCTGGGCTTCTGCCATACTTCCTAGCCACAGCCACAACCAAGGGTGGTGAGCTCCTGCCTGCCCGGCATAAACCTTCGTCGAAAGCAATTTTCCTCTACAGTCCTGTTGAAATCTTTTAAATGTCTGATTCTGAGAGCTGCAAGGTTGACGGCAGGCAGAAGGGAGCTTGGTAACCTGAGACCCTGAAACTGTTTTAGGCCGACTGGACCACGTAGGGCTCGGATCTCCATGAGCTTAAGCCACAAATATCTGGGTGTCTAAAAAGCTCTCAAGAGACACCTGTGCTGCTAGTCTGAGTACCATCCTTTGGAAGTTAGCGTAAGAATTCGGGTGTAGAGGATTGTCTGGACTTGACATTGGAACTTTCCAGTTCAGTCAGATAAATATTCTGCCTTCCCAGAGCCACTAAAAGAGACAGGAAACTCAGTCCACATACGTGAAACTGTTTTGTGTATTTTCATTCTCATTTCCTGCGTTGATTCCCAGTTCTTAATCACCTTATACAGTTCATGTGGCAGCCTTGACAGAGCCACAAGTCCAATAAGTAATCTGTCATTTTAAATAGAGTTACACAACAGGACTAAGTCCTACAGCAAAGAAATCTAGAATCCAGAGCACCGCGAAGCTGGAAGCTGACACCACCAGAAATTCCTGCGCCGGGGACCCGAGCCACTTTGCCAGGAAAGCAAATGAACACACCTCTCACCTCCCCGACTCTCCTATCGTCTGAGCGGCATTTATTCAAAGGCTGGCAAATCAAGGATTAAAAAAACACTGTCGTTCAGACCACCAGCTGTCAGCTCCCCCCTTGCCTGGTTCCCTGTCTAATCGGATTGCTTTGGTTTGGTTTTTGAGTGTAGAGGGAGCAGAAGCGTTGAGATTTTAAATACACAGTGTCTGCTGCCATCTTGTGACGATTTGGAGTCAATGCGCTTTATTAAACAGACAATGCATCCCTGCAGTAATATATTCCTAGATAGCCAAGATTAAAAAAAAATCTTAATGTGTCATCTAAAGTCCCGAGATACGGCAATAATAGTCCAAATCAAAAGCTAGGTCAGGACACACACAGACCATGGTATTCAATAACTTGGCCACATTGATCTATCATGGACATTTCTACCTTGACCTCCTCTTCTGTGAAACGAGAAGCCTGTCAGCACCATCTGTCTAGTGCTTCTTCCAGAACTCCAGGGGATCATAGACACACTTCTTGTAATGGTACCTGGTCCTTGACAATGATCCCCAGACCCAAGCTTTGACGGTGAAGATGATGGGGCTATGCACCAATCAGCTTTCTCCTCTCCCGGCTCCACCTGACCAATCAGTACAGGGTTCTTCTATATCCAGTCCAATGCTCCAGAGATTCTGATTTTCTTAGAGGAGGAGCTACAGAAGTTGCTCACTTAGAGGTCACTGTAAAGCCCACTTTTAAAATTATTTTAATTTTTTTATTATTTTATTTGTATGGGTGTTTGTCTACATGCATGTCTGTGCACTACTTACATGCCTACACCCCTGGAGGGCAAACGAGGGCCCTGGAGTTACAGACCATTGTGAGCTGTCATGCTGATTCTGGTCTTCAAACCTGGGTTCTCTGGAAGAACGACCTAAACACTCAATAAGCCATCTTTACAGTCCCTAAGCCATCTTTACAGTCCCTAAGTCCCACATTATACAGAGAGTCATCCTTTTCCATAAAGCTACTTGCTATGGACAGGGTATAGGTAGAGGACAAGAAAACCAATCAAACTGGGCCCAGATCCATTTGTGGCAATCTGAGTGGAAGGACAAGATGGCAGAGTAACAAGTGATGCCTGAGATCTCCTCACTTGAGGGTCTTAGCATGTGTCACGATTTTCTGAAAGTTCTCCGTGTGGCCCTGATGAGAACCACTGTGGTAAAAGCCCACAGAAAAGCTGAGGGCTCGACAGGCCTGGTCCCTGTAATCACAGTGAGGTGGGAATGACCAAGCAGAGGTCAGTGTTCCATAACACGTGTGTATATGTATAATATATATATTGACAGGTCTAAATGTGTGATGTATATAATGGCGTATGGACGCATATATAAAAGCACATTCCTATTGCCTATGTGTTACTAAATTCTATTAAAATATACAATGACTATTTATTGAATGGCCCAAAACTCCGTGGCTACTAAACACCTGGCTTTTCACTTGACCACACTCTGGCACTGGGGTACATTGAGGAACAAGTCCTAAACACATTTCTTCAACAGAGGTATCTCACTTGACAATGATACTTGCTTTGTAGTTTAGATTACTCCATGTTCAATTTGAAAACAATGGTAATTGTTGAAGAGATTTGTGGGCCAATGACCCACTAATTTAAATACATGTTCCAGATAATGCAACTCCAGTGTCCTGGGAGACCTATGTCCATCCCTGTTAGTTGTACTGTCTACTGTCTATGTGGGTGAGTTTCTGAAGACATAGAAGCGAGGAGACTGGTTGTTACCAGGGCAAGAAGGGGCAGGAAGTAGGGAGATATCAGTCAAAGCACAAGGTTACCCTTAGGCAGGATGGATAATTCTAGAAGCTACCACTGATATACAGATGGTAGGAAGGTGTGGTTACGTAATGGTTTAGGCTGAGAGGAGATTTTAGGTGTTGTCATCATTAAAATCAATAACTCTGTGAGGAGACAGATTTGCTGACTCCCCCCAACTGTGGTGTAACGAAACATGGTGGCTAGATCTTAAACTAATATACAGTTAGTTATAAAGGAGAAATGAGGGAGTAGACATTATGATGGGTAAATTTTACCTCAATGAAGCTGTTTAAGGTTTTTTTTTTTCCTAAGTTGATTTGAAATGGGAAATTTGTGATCAGCTCAGCAGTGCTACTCTGGCCTCTCCCTGTATGAGTCCCAAGAACTACACAGAGTCTCTGCACACAACCTGTACTAACTATCCTCTGTTATTCCCACAGGAGGATTACAACCAGCTGCGGCCACTCTCTTACCCCAACACCGATGTGTTTCTCATCTGCTTCTCTGTCGTAAACCCTGCCTCTTATCACAACGTTCAGGAGGAGTGGGTCCCGGAACTCAAGGACTGTATGCCTCATGTGCCTTACGTGCTCATTGGAACCCAGGTTAAAATGAGGGTGATGGAAGGGTGGGAGAGGCTGTGTAAAAGAAAGGTGAACCCTGTATTCTATCAAACACCACGACAGATTCTCAGATATATCATCTCTGTGAGGAGAAGTTCTGAAGGTGCACAACTATGTAGTTGAAAATGTTATAGAGCTATTTAATATGCAGGAGAAAGTTTTTATTTGGCCTTTAAAATTAAGCTCACAGGTTGTTTTTTTAAACAACAAAATCATTATTTAACAGATATTCTTCCCAGCCCTGAATTGAGTAATGAAGCAAGAGCATCAACTACATACTATTTGGCATGTTTTTAAAGCTAGACACAATTGTTTCCATACAGCAAAATAGGTGTGTGGGTCCAAATGACCCTAGACTTGGACAGGGTATATATCATGACAAGCCTCCTTGATGGCCCTGCTGGAGAAGAAAGAAACTCTCTGTTCTGCATTTCTATAAGTCATGCAGATATTAGGGATGTTAAAACACATATATTTAAGAGTAACATGTATAAACTGCCAAGGCCTTGAAAGAGTTTGGAAACTGATAAAGTTCCTCAGCTTGAATCTCCATCAATAACTCTTGTTGGTGGAGGACTGTCTGAACTATTCGTAGTTCAAATGGCTTTAGGTCTTGCTGTTTTAAAATCTGCATTAGTGTTCCAATCTCAGGACCATACTATGGCTGCAGGGCTTTCTGTCTGCTTCACACACTATTTCTTTTGATTTCTTATTTTGAATCCTATTTGACAAAGAAAAAAATTTAAAAAACTGTAAATGAAAGAAAGATGCTTTCTAAAAACCACACAGGCAGATGGGGGTTATATGTGTCCACTTCGATACAACGTAGATCTCAATGATTCCGACGGCTGAGTACAAGTCATGTTTCTGCCCTGAACAATAACTATTTGTTTAAATGAAGTTTTTAAGCTTCAATTGAAAATATTAATACCTGTCTATTGTGAGAAACTTAGATCCTACTGCCAAAATATGTAATTGGCCATCCAAAGCTCGAATTGTGACTTGAGTCTGTTTAGAATAGTCACTAACTCAAGTGATTAAGAAAAATAGAAAAAAAAAAAACCTATGTCTTTGCATAAACATTGTTCCAATTGATGGAATCCCAGCATCTCCATACCGACTTCCTGCAGGAAGCAAACCCTGTGTGCCCACATACATTTGAAAGAAACCACAACATTTAGTAAAGTGTCACCTGCTGCCCTCAAAGCTGCCCTCCCCCGTGAGAGATATTCTGCTGCTTCACTGGGGAAACCCTTTGGCCTCTCCTCACTGGGACTCCCCTGCAAAGCCTCCCTGTCCATTTGTTTTCTGTTGAAAAGGTCTCACGGGTAGAAAATCTCCAACCCTTTGAAGGTCAAGATTTGACTGGGGAGAGGGGAGAAAAAAAGATAGATCCAAAGCCACAAAAAAAATATATTATATAATAAGTAATATGAGTTACAGTCAGATGAGTAATCACTAAAAGGTGCCCATGCCATTGGAGGGTGTTCTCAGAAGCCAGGGTAACTGCTGTGAAGAAGAGTATATAAGGCCACCCTGCTGCATCCAAGTTAAAAAAAAAATGCTGGGCACATGCCTTTAATCCTGGCATTTGAGAGGCAGAGGCAGGTGGATCTTTGTGAGTTAGAGGCCAGCCTGGTCTACATGGTGAGTTCTAGAACAGCCAGAGCTACACAGAGAAACCCTGTCTCAAACAATGAAAGAGAGAGAGAGAGAGAGAGAGAGAGGAAGAGAGAGACAGACAGAGACAGACAGAGACAGAGACATACAGAGACAGACAGAGAGACAGAGAAAGACAGAGAGAGACAGAGAGACAGAGACAGAGAAAGAGAGACAGAGAGACAGAAAAAAGAGAGAGACAGAGAAACAAAGAGACAGAGAGAGATGAAGAGAGAGAGACAGAAAGAGACAAAGAGACAGGGAGAGACAGAGAGAGAAAGACAGAGATCGAGAGAGAGAGACAGAGACAGAGAGACAGAGAGAAGAAAAATCACACTCTCAAACATTTCATGGGCATGTATATTGTTTTCTTGGAAAACATCCAGCAACATCAGAGAGGTTAAGATGGAATCAGGTACTATATTATGTCTCCACTTAAAAATAACTGCTAAGACCTGAAAATAGTTAACATATCTTTGTCCCAGATTGATCTTCGAGATGACCCCAAAACCTTGGCACGTCTGCTGTACATGAAGGAGAAGCCCCTCACCTATGAGCACGGTGTGAAGCTGGCAAAAGCGGTATGTTCACATTTGAATTGAATGTTCAGGGATGGGTGAGCTACACAGGATTGCCTTAAACTGCAAAGTGTTTCTAATCTTTATGTTCCGCTTCTTCTTTGTTCTATGAGAGCTAGAAGGAGCCATTTTGGAGTGTTCCTGTCAGCCGGCACCTTCTCTTCTTCATTAAGAAACTTCAAGAGTTTCAATAGCTAAGCACTTACCATTTTGCTTCAGCAGTGTCTAGATCATGAGCTTGCCACATTTAGCATGAATTAAGGGGAATCATTAGACATACACCTGTAAACCTCCCTGCTTATTACCAGTGTAACTCATCTACATGACCTCACATGGGATGTTTTGTGATTTTTTTTTTCCAGGTAGAGAATTGGATTTGAAATCTGGCAGGGTTCTCTTTATCTAATCCTTCTCTTCCTATAATGAATAGCCACTTAGCCTGGGCAGCGTTGCGAACAGAATATGGAAACACACACAGTGGAGAGGAACAGGGTGAGGAGTCTAAGCGGCGGTCTGACAGAGCAAAGCTGGAATTACCTCCTCTAACCATTCTTCACTTCCGAGAGTCGCCCATAAACAGTGATCTTGTTACAGAAGTGCTTCAAAATGTATTTGCCTGCCCATTGTCATCAAATCTCTGCCTGCCCATTGTCACCAGACAGCAGAGCAACCACTACAATGGATACATGTGCAGAAGGAGACTTAGGAGCCATAGTTCTCTAATTTGAATCTACTTTCTCCTTGACTTAGTCCATCAACCCAAGCAGGAGAGTTTAAAATTTTGATGTTTTACTTTCTAAGTAACTAACCCTGAAAGATGTATGCCCACAAGCAGTCAGTCACCGTCTCCAAACCAGTCAAGAATAACATTAAGTACAAATTACTCTTTAGATAGATGATAGATAGATAGATAGATAGATAGATAGATAGATAGATAGACAGATAGATAGATGGTGGGTGGGTGGATGGACAGATAGATGGATAGATGGATAGACAGACAGATAGATGACAGATGGATAGACAGACAGACAGATAGACAGAGAGGTAATGGGATTTCTCTTATTAAAGCTTGTTTAAAAGTCCCAAATGGAAGTGGATTGGCTTTGGTGTTTTATGGGTACAGTGCACAAGGACAACACGCAGATGTTTGAACACGTCCTACTTCTGCCACAGTCCTGTAAGCCATCTAGGGAGATGTTGGCCTGCTAAACCTCTTTTAGGTGAGGAAATGGCCCTGGGGAGATGAGTACAGAATCACAGACACAGTTGAATCCAGCTGTGTGCGCCCCAGCATCTGGGCACCCAACCATCATCCCCACTGTCTTCTCCAGCCATGTGTGTGGCCCCTGGGAAAATGAGTGGATCTGTAGGGTCCCCTCCAACATCCAACCTCAGATGCCCTCACTAACATATATGTTAATGTGTGTAACTGTATGTGGCTTCTAGCTGGAGGGCCCACTATTTCTGCAGTATCCTGCTCTCTGTGTTCTTTACCTCTAGGACTGTCCCCGCCTTCATCTGGTAGCTTCCTAGCCTCATTCCGAGTTTGGAAAGTTGCTTCTTGTGTTTTGCTTTTGGTTTTTTTTTCCCCTGTGATAACCAGTCACCCGAAAGCCTCCAGTTTCATTTCAGCTTTATTTTAAGAACAGTGGCTGGGCTCATCGCTTGATTACCTTTTGCCAGCCTCTCCTAGCAACTGCTCTCTGGTTTACAATCACGTTGAGCATATGAAATCCAATCTAAAAGAAAACCAAATGAGATTTTTTTTTAAGCTGGCTTCGTGATGATTCATGTAATTACAGAGACGTTTTTAGGTTCTCAGTCTTTGACTCCTCTGTCAGATACTTCATTATAAAGCTAGCATTTAAGCAGTGATGATCTGATCCTGGGTGTGGCGTAGGCTTCCTCTTAGTTAATCCTCGAAGCACCTCCTGTGGTGTGTGCATTATTGTCAGAACTCTCCTAGAGGAAAATGAGGTTTAGAGAGGCGAGCTGCAGAGAGAGGTTCTGAGTTGATGCTCTAGCCACAGTACTCTTTGCCTCCTTCCTAGTCTGCAAACGAATTCTTCATTTTGGGAATCCTTTTTCAAAGACTTCTAGGAACAGCAGAGCAGAGGAGTTCCATCCCCTGGTTTGAGAGATGGACACATCCTTATCTCCACAAGCTAGGACCAGCTCTTGGGCCTGTAAATGCGTTGGCACAAGAGTTACTGCCTTGGACTCCTGAGGTGCTGCAGTGAACTAACATACCCACAAGCTCTGACTCTGCAGACTATCCCTGTTAGCCTGTTTGCCCTCAGACTTGCCTGCAGCCAGGAAGACATTTGCCTCTGTTCCTTCTAGCTGTTCCTTATAGCCCAGGCTGGCCTTGAACTCTACATATACCTGAAGATAACCTTGCCTCTATCTCTTGCTGGTTGGCATCAGCACATCTCATTTTATACAGAGCTAGAAATCAAAGTCTAGGCTCTGTCTATTGAAGGCAAGAATGCTACCAGCGAGGCTCCAGTCCCCAACCTTTCTAGATATTGCTATGCCTCTTCAGTGTACCCCACCCAAGTTAAAGGAGGAAGAAAGATTAGCTTGCCGTTTCGCTTGATTTGGCCTGTTACAAGTTGGCTTGTTTTCATCTCTTTCCATCAGATCTTGTATGTTGTGTACCACTGTGATGTGTTTCCCAGCCCTGGGAACAATGTACCTTAAGTATTGTAAGAAAGGTGTTCTGTTTGCAGCCTCAATCTCACCTTTGTTTTGTTTTACTTCCTTGAAAGGTGTCAGTTTGGTCAAGCCTGCCACAGATTGCACACATGTGTGTCTAAATGAGGACACTCTGAGCTTTTGCAGATGGGTCCTAAATACTTAGCTGAATAGATCATTTGGCTCCAAGGACCAGGGAAGGGCCCTGCTGTAAACAAGAAGGGCCGTGTTTCCTTGACACAATTTTCCGTTTCAATCTTTGGTGACCCTAATGATTTTTTTGCGAATTCTTTTTAACATGTCCATGCCCTTTCACTGAACCACAACAAACTCTCCTCTCTGACCCCCTGAGCATGTAGAGAGCATGGCAAAACAATCACCTCACAACTGGGCTCTGTGTCTCACATGGAACGTCCCAAATCACACCCAGAATCCCTTGTTTGCTTTTCCTGGAACTATCAGCACATCATAATGTTACGTGAATCTCCTCACACAACAATGCCTTTATGGACTTTCTTGTTAACTTTCCCCATGTCAGAATTGGAAGAGACAAGTTTGGGCTCCTCCTGCCTCATTCAGAGGCTCGGGCTGACAGGCTAATACGCTAAAGCACTGTCAGTTGGCAGCGCTGTGGAGAGGAAGGGAGCAAGCCTCAGTCATCTCTCAGGTCCCAGAGTGGATGAAGGGTAATCAGCCAAACTCCTGGAATTTTCAGAATTGGTCTGGGGCTTTGGAATCATTAGTGAGAAGTTTGTCCAAATGCAACAGCCTCATCAGTTTCTAAGTTTTTATTCCCTCTCTGCATAACTGACAGAAACATCACATTACAAGCAAGTATGTTCAGTTAGTCCTTTACCTGCTGTGCCTTTCATATGTGTACATGTCAACTTCCAAACGCAGCAGATGACATTTCATGCCATTGTTAAAGGAAAACGTTCTCTATCCCCTTTTCCTCTCTCTCATATCCTGTTTTTAATAAGTTTTTGAAGTTTTTTCCAAATCTAAAGACCAAACCATTGTCAAAACAAAATCCATAAAGTAAGTTTTCATTATGCACCAATGGCTTCAATTCCTTGCCTTTGATATTTCCCATTGGCTTATAAAATAGCCATTCTTCTCAGAAAAGAACACCTACCCAAAAAAGTACATGCTATCTGTAGGAAGAATTTTGAAATAAATTTCTGGACCTGACCAAAACAATTTCATTTCAAACTGAAGTCTTCTTACCTGTGTGACCTTTCAGCAAGCCCATTTCAGTGACTGTTAGCTCGGCCAACTTGTTGCTTGGCTGAGCATAAAGGTCATAGTATAAGAAAAAAATACATCTCAAGGACTGGGAAGATGGCTTGACATGCAAGAGTACCTGCTCTACAAACATAAGGACCTGAGTTCAAATCCCCAGCACCCACAAAGACGCCAGTACCCCTAGCATCAGGGCAGAGATAGGCAGATCCCAGGAGCTCACTAGCAAGCCAGGGTAATCAAAGCAGCAAGTTCCAAGTTTAATGAGACCCTGCCTTAAGGGAACAGGACAGAGAGTGGTGGAACAGGATACTTGATATCCTCCTCTGACCTCAACACACACACACACACTTGCACACATATGCATATACACATTCGTACATACACACATACATACGTTCTGACTCACACACACATTAACACATTCTCTAGCACACACATGCACACATTGACACACACATGCACACATTCACACACACATGCACATGCATTCACATACATATACTCACACATACATTCACACATTCTCTCTCTCACACACACATAACTACATTCACACACATATGCACACACACACACACACACTCTAACACACATATGTACATTCACACACACACACACACACACTCACACCCCTCAAGAGACAAAAACTTTAAAAGTAATTCTCCTTCTGGTTGAATGCCCCTTTTACCGTGACTGGGCTGCATCCTTTCTTGTCTAAGTTAAACCACAAGTTTTTCTTTATTCCACATTATACAAGCTTCCTGGTGACAGACAAAAGCATCTAACATCTGCATCCTGGCTGACCCATAGAATGTTTCTTTCAATTGTATACATTAAATAAAATTTTAAATTTCTGACTGTATAGAAAAATAGAAAATGAGTCCAGTGTGATTTTTTTTTGGAAGCTGAGGAGATCATCTCTTCTAGTGGGGACACCAGTCAGTCACAGATGCTTGCTCCTGGTCCCCAGCATCCCTGTGTGTCACCACAAACTCCCATCCATCACACTTCTGCCTCCCAGTTTCTCCAGCCAGCCATCCACCAGTTTCCAGGTCCAATATCCAGCCAACCTCTTCTGCATTTGTTCTGCTTTTTTCAAAGTTAGTTTCAAAATGGAAAATGGAAAAGGGGTGGGCAGATGTTTCTCCAGATGTCCGTAATATTCAGAGACCCTCAGCACACAGTTAGCTCATGTGAGCTTGTGAGACAAAAACACTCAGGTCTCCTCCTCTAGCAAAGCCGACAGTCAGGCACAGCCTTCCTGGCCAGTGATTGTCTTAATGAGAATCAACAATTTCTGGCCTGGATTTCTGCATTTCTCATGGGATTTTCTAATTCTCATATAACCCATACATAGTATAAAATCATTTTTTTTTTTTTTGCATCTTCAAAGAGTTGGGAGATGGATCAGTAGTTAAAAGCACTGGTTGCTCTTCCAAAGAATCTGGGTTTGATTCCCAGTATCCACATAACATCCATCTGTCTGTAACTCTAGCTCCCGAGGATCTGATGTCCTCTTCTGGCCTCTGTTGGCACTGCAGGCACATGGTGTGCAAATATAGATACCATGCAGGCAAAATGCCCACACACATATAATTCTCATATCATCAATAGCAATAATAATTTATTTTAATGATTAGCAATTGTTATAATAATTTAAATAGAACACTAACCCAGTACAAAATACATATGGCTTAAACATAAAAAATACACACAGTGAAAGAAGTTGTCTCTATTAATGAATATCTTCTATGATTTTTATTTCTTCATGTTTTAGTGTTTTAATTTAATTTTTGAAGGTTATTGATATTGAAAAATAATAGCACATGGTATCGTGTTGCCAAGAGATACATGCCAATCAAGAATCATTTATGGTGGCTATTTCTTAGCTGCTCTTTAGGTCCAGTGACAATGCCTTATCCCACACAGAAGAGCCTCTTCGCTTGAATGGCACTGCCACATTTCGTATAGAAATGAAAGGACAGTGGAAACATGCCGTCTGTAGAACAAGCAGACACGGGAACCTGGCAAGTCGGACGGTTGGCACTCACAACTTTCTCTCTTTCTTTGTGTTTAAGATCGGAGCGCAGTGCTACTTGGAATGTTCTGCCCTGACTCAGAAGGGTCTCAAAGCGGTTTTCGATGAAGCCATCCTCACCATTTTCCACCCCAAGAAAAAAAAGAAAGGCTGCTTAGGGTGCCAGGGCTGCTGTGCAATTGTTTGAAGTTGCCTGAGACCCATCGCCCTGCCATGCAAGGGTATGGAGGGCAGCCAGTCTCTGTGACCCAACTCTAGCCAAAAAAGGAGGGCGTGGCCAGAAAGGAATTCCTGCATCCCAACGCTTGTCCCCGTGCCCTGCCAGCTTCCCAGCCCAGCATCCTGTAAGCCACTGCCGCAGCCCCAAGCCAGCTAGACCATCCACACTGTGCATGAAGAATGCAGAGCCACATTCAGACTGTATGTTGGTGAGGTGTTGGAAGCCGAGTGAGGATCCGTGGAGGAGGCTCTCACGGTTATGAAACAACCGGAAGTCATGACGGGAAAACCAAGTACTCTGTGTGCATTGGTGGCCTTGGTTCATGTCTTCACCAAACTTGGGAATACAACACCTACATTTTTTTTTTCCTGAGTCCGTTCTTTTACCCAAGCACCTTAATGCTATTGCAGTTCTCTGATGTCAATCCACATCAAAGTAGTCGAAAGACAAGCTGGATGGTGCTCACGCCAACTGATAGTGGATCTCTGCCAATGTTCTTAGAGCTGTCATGTACCTCTGAAAGCCTAATTACAAAAAAAAAATACAGCTCTTATAAGTGTACATACCTATAGTGCTTTTAACCTTTTTAAAAGAAAACGTCCTGTCAATTATTACAGCTCCCCAAGTTTGGCCAAAGATCATCCTACACATGCTTCAGGTGATGGGAGTCTGCTCTTGAAAACTCCTGTTGTCATTCAAACTGAAAATGGACTGTCTTGGAAGAAACAGTTTTCTACTTCTCATCTAAAGCGGTCGGGACAATAATGTAGCAAAGCCATCGTCTCAATCCAGGAGAGTGGGCCTGACCCGCCCTGCTCACACAATGTCTTTACCCTCTCTCTGTTCACATTTTCTCCTGTGCCCAGATCCGTGTTCCTCAGTCACAGCCAGAGAGAGAGAGAGAGAGAGAGAGAGAGAGAGAGAGAGAGAGAGAGAGAGAGAGAGA